AAAATGAGGCGAGGGAGTGCACTGGACCATGGTGATGGTGCACGGGTAAACTGGTGATCGGAAGTCCACAGTGACTACAACTGAGATGGAAAAAGGCACAAAATGATGTCAAAATAAACTATTGTATTTTTAAAAATGTTTTTTGTTCATCACTTCATGAATCAATGTATCTGAACTGTTTCCAGTTTTTGCCTAAAGTGAACAATATTCACAGCATGAAATACTTACCTGGCAATAAAAAGTACTGAAGTGCTGATGTGTGCTCCAGCATGGACTTACCACACTTTATCCATTCATCAGCTATTAGGCCTCAGTTTATTCTAAGGGTTTTTGAGGTTCTTTTAGCAACCTGCTTTAACATTGACTCCATGTCTTTCCATGAAGTATGAACCCCTGGTGTCTTAAAAATGCACAGTTCTATTTCCTGGCCTGGTTTAGTGGTTAGCCAATGATTTGCAAAGAGGCGCTCAAACACCTTGCACTCTGAGGCTTCCACCCTCCAGTGATGGCACTGTACGTGGGGCTAAGGGACTGTATGTCTCTCCAACCAGTATGAACTGAGCACGCCACCTCTACTCCAAATTGAGTCAGCTCTGGCTAAAAAAAAAAAAAGACCACCATGAGCTGGGAGAACTGCAGTTTTCAGCAAGTGAGATAGATAGGGGTGGGGGCAGTAAAGGACCCAGGCAGCAAAGAGCAGCAACCCACTTCTTGCTCAAAGTACAAGCACATTTATCATCTGCCTCTGATTTCCAGTGCCCCAATGATTGTTTTCATCAATCTTGCCCAGTTTTATACTGTTTTTTGTTTGTTTGTTTGTTTGTTTTGAGAAAGAGAATCACACACTCTTCACATCATCTTTAGTGGTGGATTTCTCCATTTCCCATAACATAACCTCTTACAAAAATAAAGTATGACTGTAATTCCACAAATGCTCTCAAGTTTGATATAAAATTAATCATCATAGTTTGTTTTCCACGGAGAGCAGCTCTTTCACCGAATGCCAGCTAACTATGTTCAAGTACCAGAAGAGTCAGATGTTCAGGAATTTTGAGGTTCCTGGGGGTAAACTGATTGATTGCTTGGACCTCAGCCACAGCTCCTGACCACAGAACCACACAATGGTCCAAAGATGAGGGATTCTGTGGTGTGAGGCAGGCAGTAAGCAAACGCTTACAGATTCTATTATTAGTGTTATTATGTATTAGCTATTTTCAACCCAAGATTTTGTAATGCATTCTATTTTTTCTCTAGTTATACCAAATACTGTGACAAAATCCTCAAGTCTAACTTGTTTTTAACACCATTACTTCATATTTATAGACAGTTTATAATGGGCGAAGCGCTTTCACTATTATCTCATTGGATCCTCACAAAACCCTGTGTAGCAAAGACCAAGTATTTTGTACCTGTTGTCACTGAAATACGGGGGATTAAGTGTTCCACACCACTAACAAATCACTTTGTCTCATACCCTTGGACAGCCCTCAGCCTCAATTTCTCCAGTGCTTTGGCAACTTCTTTATCGGTAAGAAGAAATTACCCCAAACAGTCGTTTTCTCAACACCTGCAGGCAAGGAGAACTAACTGAACATGTGTTTCCTCGAAAGTTTTAGTTACCAGCCTGTTGCTTGCAGACCCTGGGTAAGAAAAAATGAACCCAGAAGTCACAGCAATTGCAAAAGCAACCTTTAGTCTTTTCGGATGTCACGCTTCTCTCTCTCATTCTATGAATCCTTCCAGGAGGGAGCCACTAACTTCCCCCACACAGACAGATGGGGGTGGGGGTGGGGTGGGGGGGTGGTCTTGGATGTCAAATCTGTTGGGTCATTTAAGAGTATCATGAAATCTCACTCTAACACACGCAATGGGAAAGATGCGCATCCCTCTCGTCTGTGAAACTGAAACCAAAACACCCTTGCATCCCTTGACTCCTCAGTTCCTCGAGAGAAGAAGGTGTATGCTCGGTCCCCTGTTCACGTCCTCCAGTCCTCCTCTGAAGTGTTCATCAGGCTTTGCTCACCACACCACAGAGTGTTCATCAAGGTCACTAACAAGCTCCTCGTGGTTAAGTCCTTGGTTGATTTTCAGTCCATGCCCCACCTAGCCTGACAAGGGAGCTACTCCTGTTCCGAAACACTTCTTCCCTCGGTCACCAGAATGCCCCAATTTCCACCTTCCTGTCACTCTGCCCTATGGAAACCACCTCATCTCCAACCTCCAAGGAGGCAGGTCCTGGCCTGCTCCTCTCCCTACTCCCCCTTGGCTTCTCAGCTCTTCTTAGAGCTTCAAGTAGCAGCTAAACGCTAAGAGCTTCCATTTGTCCTTTCAGCCCTCACCTCTTCCTGCACTTTAGACTCTTCCACTTAGATGCCTGAAGAGGCACCTCAAGCTTCACACATTCAAAACTGGGCTTGGAGCGGCTCCAAATCTACCCTTCTCCCTCTTCCCCTCCTCACCCCAGTCCTCTTGATCTCAATGAAAGCCAACTCCATTCTTGATTGTTCAGGCAGAGAACTGAGTCATCCTTGACATGTCTCTTTCTCATCCCAAATGTGACTTCACAACGTAGCACTAAAATCCCATCATTTCCCGTATTTATGCAATGCGGTACCCTCACCGCTTACCTGGGTGACTGTAGTGGCCTTGAGCTGGGTCTCTCTGCACCCACCCTAGCCGATGTTCCCACACTCACCCCCGAGTATTCCAATCATAGCAGCAACATCTCATCAACAGCAACATCATGCCACTTCTTTTCTCAAAACCCACCAACCAACTAATTCCTTTTTTTTTTTTTTGGTCAAAGCCCAAGTCTTTATAACCACCCTGCTGTTCCCATGGTGTGACCATCTGTTTGCCTGTCATCTGCCTTTTCTCACTCCAATCCATCCCGGAACCCCTCTGTACCGTTCCAAGGAGCCAGGCACACTTCTGCCTCAAGGTCTTTGCCTTTCTCTTGCCTCTGCCTCAAATACCTTACCTCAAAGGGCCCCAGGGCACTTCCCTCATCTTTCAAGTCTTTTCTCAAACATCACCTTTTTGCTGAGGTCTTCCCTGCACACCCTACTTAGAATCCAACCACATTTCCTCCAAGGCACAAGTTACATATTTCCGTATTTATTTGATTTTAGTCTGGCTCTTTCCCCTAAAACATTAACTTCATGAAGACAGGACATTAGGTTTACTTTGCTCATGGCTGTATCACCAGTGCCCAGAATACTGACAGGCACGTGACAGGTATGCAGCCAGCACAGGGCGAATCAATGAATCATCACTCCCTGTTAGCAGATCTACATAAAGGCCAGGAGGCGCAAGGCTGTCGGCACAGTCACGGACACCTAGGAAGGTGACGGTTTACAATGTCACAGGCCACTCCGCCCACTGGAAATACGCAGGCCCCAACGAATTAAAAATGTTCTGGAATTCATATTAAAAGGTGAAAGAAGACCCTCCCTGGTGGCGCAGCAGGTTAAAGCACAACACTGAGAATCTAGAGCCGCTTCTGCATGAGTTCGATTCCCGCCTGCCCCAGAGGTGACCACATGGCGAGGCAGACCTCTCCTGACCCGCCTGCTGCTCCCTCAGCAGTGTACTTCGTTGATCTGCCTGTTCTGTTCCCCACTCTGTCTCTGGTGAAGCCTCTCACCGCCCCTGC